TGATTATATCAGGTATCACAGTGTCTGATCTCTTTCAGTATTTAATATGTAGATTATATGCTTAAAACTCTGAGATTTAATATACTAAGTGTTTGAAAGATTTTATTATTAATTATAGATAGATAAGACTTTTATAATCTGTGATCACTGTTATTGTATATCTGTTATTAATATATCTATTTCATAATATCAGTATGTGTTTAATTACTAGTAATTTCTTTTCATACACTGAGTAATTAAACTCAGTATCTGATAGTTTTCTATCATTGTATATCATCAGATGCAGCTTGCTATTCTTACTCATCTGTAGAAGAGTGTCTCTGATAGCTCATTCAGATATATCTGTCTTAATGTAGAAACATTTATTATGATCTGATTGAATAAATACTGAGAATATTATTATACATTTTCTCAGTGTGAGAAAAGCCTCTTTATATATAATATGTTAGATAATTGAATGAAACTTCTTCTTTTACAGATTTGCATTTATTTCTCTTAAGAGATCTAAGAGTGATGCAGATATTTATATGAAATTCTTGATAAATCTGTGATAATATGAGATTAACTCAAGAAACTATTGTATATGATATATATTTCTCAGTCATGATTAATTTACTATGACATTCAATTTCTCTGAAATAAGGTGTATACAGTCATCACTCACTATATATTCTATAAACTTCAACTCTTCTGTTTCAAACATATACTTTATTAATTTAATATAAAGCTTATACTCTGTCAGAGTTATAAGCACTTCATTAAGATACTTCAGATATTTATTATATAAGTTTGAAAAGACTAGAATATTATTAAGATATATAAGATATGAGGTTTTATTTTATTTATAAAGAATTATATTCATTATTATTTAAAAGATAATAGATATATTTATCAGACTGAATAATATTATCAGAAATTTGAACTTTCTTCATTATATATTAAATACAGTTTACAGAACTGACAGTTTATTTATACAGATTTATCAGTATTCTGAGAGAAGATTAATCTTTGATAGATATCAGATATTTTCAACTATATTCAACTGTTATTGAATTTATAGCAGTGAATATTCATTCTTAATTATAAGCTTATTAAGTGCTTAATAATTAATACACATCTGTCACTTTCTCTTCATCTTTTTCATGAATAGAACTGGAAAGTCTCATGTACTTAATGAGAATTATATAAGATTACATTCTAGAAGATCTGTGATCTGATACTTCTGTTCTTTAAGATGTATTTATAACAGAGAGTATGCATTCTGATTAACTGATTTTGCATCTCTTATATCAATCTTATGTATAAATTCTTATTCTGACAGTAATTCTGATGAAAGATCTGTTCAGAAGATCTTTTCATACTTCTTTAAAAGCTTCTTCATATACTTGTTCTTCTACATATTCTTTATCTTGATTTTCTCTGCTTCTGAGTTCTGTATAATATACAGAATGCTTTTAAATAAGATCTTATAAATCATTCTTTTTACTTGTTAATATGTAAGCAGATTTAACTCTTCTATATCAGAGATATGAAATGTTCTTCTCATATTAGTTAATAGAATTATATGAACTGTTTTCTTTCTATTGATTAATTATATATGACATGTACATTATTAAATCTGTGAATTGAATCTTTGAAATCAATTAAGTCTGAGAATAAGATTGTATTTCATGTTCTGCAGCTCTTACACTCAAATATAGCAAGATCATTCTTTAAAGTGTAAGAGAACTCTTACTCTTATAAGTAATATTAAATATCAGTTATTAAATAATCTTATATATTGAAAATTCTTTACTCAGCAGATCTCTTTCAGTCTTCAGATTATATAATTATTAATATATTATATAGAAGCTTCTATATCTGTTAATACTTTTACAGTTATCTCTTAATTCTTATTCAAGTATCTCTTATACATTAATATTTCAGATCTTAAGATATTAAGATAAGTATCTGCTTCATTCTCATCTGTATCTCAGTCAGAAGCCTGCTTTCTCTTAATATTCATAGAATTCAGAGAGTCTTTTAATATAAACATCTCTTTCACTTTAAAGACTTTTTATAGAATATTAGTAAGTGTCTCTGAGCTCATTGATTCTGCTAGTTTTTTAACTCTCTTACTTCTCTTAACTGTGTATACTATGTGTAATCTTTTATATCATGATTTTAATATCTGCAGTTAAAGCAAGCTTAATACTTATAATATCAAGATTTTCACTCAGAGAATCTCTTTTTTAAGAAATTCAATACTTTAGTAATGACATTCAGATCTAGATTCATTATATTCAGATATATAACTTGTATTATAGAAGTCTGATTATCTGTTCTTTATTGAAATATACTTAATTACAGTATTTTCTATTATAATTAACTTACTTATTTCTATATAATAAGAATGTTATATACTTCTTTCACTATATCTAATTATAAGATTAAGTATTTTCATTTCACTCTTAACTCAGATATAAGATCATGAATAAAGATCTATAAATAGAAAGATGTTGAAAGCTCTTTATTTAATATAAGATAGTGTAAGTTAAAGTATATAAAGTATAATATAAAATTACATACTTATCTACACTCAGTGAAGTATTTATAATACTTATTTTATATATTCACTTTCTCAAAGTTATATAAGATTTATTTGAAAAACTTATTTTATATTTATAGAAATGAATATTACTTCAGATCTGTGAGATTTATCTTTTTATTAATTATTTATAATAACTTTACTTTTCTATATAGAAACACAGCAGATCTTAAGACTTATTAAAATTCTGTTAACTATCTATCTATGAGTTTATATTTAATCTGATAATATAATTATATCTGACTTAATCAGCTGATTATAGTATTATTTTTTCAGTTATTATTAAAGCTTAATAGCTCTGATAGATCTCTCAGCTTAATTTTATACTTGAATTCTCATTCTATACAGTGATTTCTGATAGTGTGTATACTTCTGAAGAGATTATAAATAATTATAGTAAGATCTTCAGATTTAATATAGTTATCTATCTATATAAATATTTAATCTTTCACTGTAAATCTAAGATCTGATTTTCTCTATTTTTATTAATAGTGATAATTACATCAGTGAAGCTTTTTATAGTGAATACTTAATTTACAGTGAATGTTAATTATTATTTTTTTATCTCAGTCTGTCACTATGTATACAAGACCTTAATCTTATTTAGAATTCTTGTACATATACAAAGCTTTCATTCTGATTCAGCAGTTTCAGCTGCTTTTCTTACTATTTTAAGTAAACTCTCTAAGAGATTCTATATATCTTCTGATTCAGATAGCAGAGAAGAGTGTTATTTATATTAACTAGAAGAGATATTTATTTCAGTGATTTCTTATTAATTGTATAATATCTATTATTATATTACTATATCATTATATCACTATATTATTATATAATTTCTGTTATTATTATATAACTCTGATGATAATCATTCTCTCTTTTTATTCTTCTTTTAAGTAGAGAGTGAACTTCTTTGAATCTGGTTCATTACTCTTATTCTCTTTCTCACATCTCATCTGTTTGTATTTTATACATGGTATTTATCTGAGTGTGAAGTTTTTCTCTAATAAGCAAAGCAGTATCAATCAGATACTCTTTTACTTATCACTCTTTATATACTATCTTTTGAGATGTTCTAGAATCACACTGATATGATAACTATAAATCACTTTATAGATGAAATTATCATATTCTGAAGAAGTCTGTACTTCTCACTAATTTTTAGACATGCTATCAGATGTGATTCAAAGATTGCTTGAGTCAGTGTATAATTACAGGTGTACACTGGCATCTTATATACTGTACACTAAATTAATTGATGGCTGCTATGGCCTCTTTACATTCATAAGCAAGTTCGGAAGCGGCCGCGTTATTATGCGGCGGTCATACGTTCTTCCGAACCACACTTTATAAGAATATTATATAAAATTCAGAGAAAAACATCTTACTTTCTCAAGAGAAGTAAAAAACTAATTCTAAGATCTTTTTCTTTTTTGCATTAACTGCTGCAGAAGAATGAGATAGAAACTGCTAAGATATACACTACTGTATATTCTCTATCAAGACTTTCTCTCTTCAGAGTCTTGATATTATAGAGAATATAAGTCTATTTCTATATAATAATATAAATATTGTCAGTGAAATGTAGAGAAACTGATTATTTATATCTCAAGATAGAAGATTTTATCAATGATTATATCAATATAGAGTTAATTCTCAAATTCAATAGAAACCTAGTATTGCTGTTCTCAATCTCTTGCAGAATCTCCTACTAAAGGGCCTCATCGCGGAGAGCCTATACAACCTTTCAAAAGAAGAAGTAAGAGCTCTACAAGCCTCCCTAGCAGGGTTCTAGGCTCTCTAACTGATAAATCTACTGTTGACATTCCTTTGAACTCTTTCCTATCTACCCCCCGAATCTCTCGCTCTGGCCGCCATATTAGGCCGTCCACCTGTTTATTTTCCTAACTACACTGATTTCTATGCTTCAAAGAACACACTCATTTAATATTTAATAGCTATTTCATAATAAAGCTCTGGTTGTTGAGATATCTAATAAATTCGTTGCGTGGAGCATTGGAAGGAATTTGGCTAGTTGAGTGGTGGTGAGCTAAGTTACCTTACTATGTTTATGCTCGGTATATTCGAAAAAGGGCCTCTGGGAATTGACATTTGTGGTGATTGTCTGAGGAACAAAACTCCGGGGCAAAAACCATCTGGCCCAGCTCCTAAGCCTAATAATCTCATTAACAGCATATATTAAGTGATGGTAACTCTTAATCCGCTCACTATTTGATCGGAATGTAAAGGTTAAAAAGAGGTTGGTTTCAGAGTGAAAACTACTGGAACCTTTCTTCGTGTCACATGACTTGTCGGAGCGCATTAATTATTGTGCCACCCCAACGACACCACGAGACCTCTTGAAACCCAACCTCGTTGTTCCCCTGAACAATGAGTGGAAACTCCGAGGCACTGCTTCCGAATCTCCAAATTCATGATTTCAAGGTGCATCGATGGCGCTGCAATCCCTGCTGCGGCCCATCATCAATCGAAAGAGGCATCGGTGTGGAATCCCCCAACATAGAGGAACTGGGTTGTTTCACAGCCTCTCGCGCGCCAGCTGTGCACCTTCCAGCTCTGCCTCGTCAGACTTGTCTTTGTCGAAACTATAAAACCAAGGGCAAGGCCGGGTTTTTATAGATCGAGCGGCGGCGTTGGAGCAACGTGAGATGGCACAAAAGCGGCGAGGCAGGCGCCATCCCCGAAGCGGCAACGGCGATACCCCAACAGGCATGGCACACAAGGCGGGCCAATGATCGCGGGGCTCGGCGGGCTGGGCGCCCCGCTAACCGGCAGAAAAGATACTCCAGTGTTGTATCTAATAGATAGTTATCATCTGCCTCAAAACTCGCAGGTTGGTTCTCCTCCTCCCCTCCAAGGTGTTTCACTATACACACCCTTCTGATGCGTAAACCGTAAGGGAGCTCTGATTCCCTCCAGCACCTTCCAGCAAGGTGCTGCTCTCCGCCACACAGCTATGTCTCTATGGAGAATAAGACCGCAATGGCGGCAACCAAATGGCATACTGAGGCTGTTCTCGCACTGCTGCCGGCTGTTTGTGAAGCAAATGCCACCCCGCCCGAAGCTAGACCCGTCAGAAGTCACCGGCAGCTATCTGAAGGGAACAGGTCCTGGAGGACAGGCTATTGTGAGTATATATATATCCTTCCTTTCTATATCGTTACTTTGCTCGTTAGTTGTTTTCTTTTTGTTTTGAATTTTTTGTTTGTGGAGTTTATAGGCAATGAGTTGTTACTTTTTCTGTCGTTTTATAGACGATAGTTTATAGACGAAATGTTTGGCCATTTGGAGTTTCTGTGTACCTTTCTGGTACACCCATGCTTGTTTGAATTGGTATCACTCATTTCCTACTGGATGCTCTTCTTCTGGCTCCAGCATGATTCTATTTTCCATTACTTGAGCCCTGATTGGGTTGCCCTTGGTACCGCTACACTATTGCCACCCATCTGATACGCTTCAATCTTGATTTCTATTATTCCAACGGACCAATTGGATATTGCGCTTGTCGCAATATTATATATATGCTCCGATATATATTCCCTAATTTTGTCGCTTCGGGGAGGGGGGGGTCCCATTATATGTCTGAACCCCAAGGAAGCGAGTCGACCGGCCAGGCAAAGGATATGCGGATCAGTTATTATCCCATGCACCCCTATCACCGTTCCCCCGATTACCCTTCTGAAACATTGTATTTGACATATATATATACCCCATATTAAAAATATCCTATCATTTTTTGTCTCAACTTTCTTTCCCTCCATTCTAATGAACCCACCACATAGAACAAAACCAACTCCGCCGTCCAACTTATCCACAAACCCACCGGCATCGTCGTCAAATCCCAGGCGACGCGATCGCGCACGCAAAACCAGAAGATCGCCATGGGCATCCTTGCAGAGAAAGTGGAGCTGCAGCTCAAGGGCGAGAAAAGTCGGGCGGCTATCAAGGCTGAGACGAAGAGGAAGAGGAAGGCTAGTAGGGAGAAGAAGGCTAAGAGGAAGTATAGGAAGTTGGAGGAGGAGAAGAGGATGAGAGGATTAGGGGTGGAGGGAGAGAAAGAAGGGGAGAGGGAAGTGGAGGGGAAGGCAGAGGGGGAAGCGGAGGTGGAAATGGAGTTGACGGAGTCGGATGCGGTGGAAGAAGGGCGGGGGAAGAGGTGGTCTGAAGAAGGGGTGATATTGGATAAGGAGGGTACGGTATAGGCGAGCAGAGGGACGGGGAGAGTTCCAATAACGTTGAGCGCGGGCGCTGATTTGTGAAGGTTTGGACACATATAGAGTTTTGATAACTGTGCTGTATTACTATTTTCTCCCCTTTTCCCGAGAACTACATGGCGTGGCGTATGGTACTTATAGCGCAATGAGATCCCACCAAATGTTCAGATATCATCAACTCAAGATGTGATGCAGCAATCTTGACCTATTAAGTTACAACAAGCAGAAGTATAGTTGCCGCGCCGCCCTTATAGCTCCGTAATGGTTGATATAAACGCCTGCAGCAAATCGTTCTTCAAATCCACCCAATTCTCTAAACCAACACTGATCCTCAGCAGCCCCCTGTCAACCCTAGGATCCGACATTGCACGCCACTCAATCAAAGATTCCACTCCACCAAGGCTAGTGGCATGGTGGAATAGTTTGAGCTTGCTGGGTAACCTCCGAGCAAAGTATGGAGTCCGCAGCACGATGGAGAATACAGGCCCGAAGCCGTTCGGCATCTGCCGCTGCAACCACGGTTCATCCTTCTGTAGACTGGCGTGATATATCTTCTCAACAACAGCCCGGACAAAAATGTCCTCATCGTCCTCGGTTTGCGGTGTATTTCGTTTCTTCGACGCGCCATGGAGCCATGATACCAACTCCGCGCAACTCTGGCTGGCTCGCTGCACACGAACCTCCAGCGTCCGCAGGCTTCGAACGCCCAACCAACCTTCCAGGTTTCCCAAAACACTACCCATGGCCGCGCGATCTTCAAAGAGCCGCTTTACCCACTCTGCATTCTTGGTCGCCAGCACGCCACAGAGAAGGTCACTATGCCCGCCCAAATACTTTGTGCCAGAATGCATCACAATATCCGCGCCCCACAGGAACGGATCCTGCAGCCCCGGCGGCGCAAACGTGCTGTCTACAATAAGATAAGCACCGCGCTCATGCGCCTTCTTAGCATACTCTTCAATATTGAAAGCCGTGCCCAGCGGGTTAACGGGTGTTTCGAGCAAAATCACATCCCCCACCTCCAAGCTCTTGGCCGGGCAGTCGAGGGCCAGTTTCTGGAGCCCGGAGAGACGGGAAATAACAGCAATCACTTCATGGCTGCCGTGGTACCCGTCGCCCACTGATATGTGGCGCGGGTTCAGGAGGACCAGTGCAGCGTGCAGAGCTGCCAGGCCAGTGGAATAGGCCACTGCGGGGGCATTTAGGAGGGATGACAAGATGGCTTCGAAGCGCGTTGGTTTGGCGCAAATACGCGAGAGTATACATAGTTTTTGCCGTTGAAGTCGGCCTGGATATGTATAAGTTATCTTGTCCCTTTTATCTATCTATTTACTTCTTTATTTTCATTTTATTTTTAGCTTGTCTGGTAGCACAGGAGACTAATATATAACTTACAATGGGGTCTTCACTAGGGACCAATTGCTTTGGGTCATCGGGGAATCTGAACGTGGTGGACAGATGGATTGGCGGTGCAACATCGTCCACCAAATTCAATGCATCATCCGCATGGATTGCTCGAGTCGACGGATGATGGATATCGTCTGATAGAACCATTTTGATAGGGTCTAGGTATTATAGAATTGGGATTTGTGAGGCCTAGTAATTTTGTATGCGGATGAAGCAAGCCAGACCTCTTCATGAGTTGGTGTAAATATTATAACTCCGTCTCCCATTGCCCAGCTGACCGTCGTTTAGTTAAATACTCTCTCTGCCCCTCCCCCTCCCCCTCCCCCGCCCCCGCCAATCTTAGCCATCTATATCAGCCGGGCTATAAATACTTCCTCCTCCTCCCGTCACTTCATAACAGACCATACAAACCTCATTCTACACAAATCACACCCATCCATTCATCTACAAGAAAGCAAGAAAGAAACGAAAACGAAAACCTCCCACCAAAACCACCACCAACTCCAAACCCTCAACATGCACGAAGGCAACTGCCCAAAATGCGGAGCAACCACCGCCGGAGAAGTCAAGAAGTGCACTTCTTGCGGTGCCGTGAGTATACGCATCTTTTCTACCTCAAGACCACTCGTTCTCGTTCTCGCTCTTGGTTTTTCGTTTTTGTTCCATGCAAAGAATAGTACATACATGAACTAACAATACCCCCCACCTTGTTCGCTACTTTGCCTAGTCTTGCCCCGTATAAACTGATTTACAACGGGGGGTGGTTCTGCATTTTTGTTTCGTTGGCCCTTTTCTTGATCGATGGCTCAGCGGGCCCCCTAATCCTATCCCTGGACCCGTTAAACGGATGCGGATATACCATGTAACGAATGACTTGGATGTTGGGAAATGTGGAGGGATGATGGGATTGGTGGGAGGTTTATCTGATTTTAGCAAGGAATGGATGGGAAGGGCCAGCATGATTCACGAGTGGATGTTTTTCCATGCATTGTGATATAGCCAGTTGGGTGGGGTGGGTTGGTGGGATGGGGTTTATGGGCTGTAGAATGGGATGGCTAAACCGTGGGGGATATTTGTGTCTATGCGCTGTTGATATATCTCATGATATGCTATCCTATCTATCCTTTCCGGCTCTCTTTCTCCAAACTGGAATCGTATCATACATTCATTCAATACCTGTCAGGCCTAAGTATTTGAAATAAAAGAGAAACGGGAGAGTTTATTGCAGAGTTACCGTGGAGCCGATTGAAAGGCATCATCAACCTCGTCAGAACACTATCATCTGATTCTGTGTTTTGCGTAAACGGCGAGAAAACAAAATTTACCGGTTAAGCATATGTGATGCTATATTCTTATATTCCGCACATGTGTAAGGAGAACTCTCTTACGTCTCTCTTACGTCTCTCAGAGTATGATGAGCAAGCTGTGAAAATATTATATCCCTCTTACGTTTAACCCAGCCTCATGTTCATCAGGTCGTCCCACCCATCGGCCCCCTTAACTCAGGATCAATTCATCTAATCAAAATAGCCCCTCCGAAATTTTCCCCTCCACCTCCAATCCCCGCGATACCAAATATCACCCGCCAATATACGCCGCCAACCCCGCCTTCGCCTCCGGGCTCAATCTCTCCTGCGCAAAGTTCGAAATCTTCCCTCCATGCTTCTTATCCGCCTCCTTCAAGTACGACCCAGCCCACACACCATACTGCGGCCCAGGAACCTCCGGCCACGGATCCTTAGCTGTCGGCCGGATGGTGTTCAGCTGCGTAAAGCCAACGCCGAACGCCATATCCTCTACGTCGTTTTCGGCAATGATGTCGTCCTTTGTGGCTGGGAGGGGAGGTTGGCTGAGCAGCGTTAGTAGTGCTTCACACGTGAATGCCCACCCCTTCTTGTAACGGGAGGCAAAAGCTTCTGAGGTTGCGAGTGTTTTTGTAAAGGAGATCACGGCGCTTTTTCGGTCGAGAGGGCGCGCGAGTTTTTGAGTTTCGGGGAGGATTATGTTGAGATAAATCGGTGTGAAAACGCTAAGAGGTGGGGGGTAGGAATGTTAGCATTCCAGGAAGGGACAATGAGAACGTAGTGGTCGTACCCTGATTGTATGTTCTCTGTCACTTGGATGAAGAAATCGGCGCTGTAGCCCTTGGCATCATTGGCAGAAATGAAGTGGTAGAATCGAACAAAACGGAGAGCGAAGTTTTCCGTCTTGGAGTTTTGGAGGCGGGTGAGGATTATTTGGATAATAGAAACAAAGTATTTCTCCAGCAGTGTTCTAGTCGGAAAAAAAGCAAAAGAGAAAAGGAATGACAGTCAGTAACGTACAACCAGAGCCAAGGTGGGATTTTATAAGACGAAAGGAAGAAGAATGGACATACGAAGGGAAGTTAGCAATGACACTCTCAAGAAGATCAAAACCATAGCTCTCATTCGCTTTTGATGAGACGAGCTTCTGGAAAATACCAAGAATGGGCTCAATTTGATTATTTTTCGTAATGGAGTCTGCTCCACGCGGGATAATCGATGATAGCAAGCGAACAAGGGCTGGAACATTGCCTTTCGACTCCCACATGTTTGGCATGATTATTGGAGTGATTAGGTTCTGATAGTACTCAGGGAGTGTCCCGGATGGGTTGGTCTCGAGCAATGCCGCCAGAAGCTGGAATACATAGGGAGCGAACTCTGATAATTGTACTAGTTAATCACAAAGGGTCTTGATATTTCGGGATATTTTTGAAAAAGCCCACCTTGCACGTCGTTCTGTAAAACTGCGACAAAAGGAGGATACAACGCCTCCTCGAGTTTCGTTGGCTGTGCTGGTGCAGCGAATCTGCCATGATATATACTGTTAGCTAATTCAAACTTGCATCTTCAAACGGCATATTGGGATGCTCACCTAATCAAAGCACCCAGAGCTTCGAAATGGTAGTAATAAAACCTTGGATTGCTCGGGTTCGTGCTGATAATTTGAGTGATAGTGATGAAGTGCCGTAAGATGCTGTCCGTCAGCGGGACGACAGCTTCCTTGATAACGATAAGTACCCTCATGACACACCTCATCAAGAACTCATTCTCTTGTACTTTCGGTGCAGCTGGGTCTTTCTCTATTAATCGGAAGATGTGTTCAAGAAGGTCTCCAGCTAAGGGAGTAATCGAGCTAGGCGGGATGACGGGTTGACCCTTGCCATCCGTAAGGAATAGTATCCGCTCCACTGCCACAGCGGCATATGTGTACACGACGTATTCCGACGCACCAAGATGTTTCACCAGAAGGGGCAGGACTTCCTGCCATTGTTCCTTTGTTATCAGACTCCGGAATGCATAGAGGTATTTGATGGCATCCACTTTAAGAATCGGCTGTATACCAGTTTCTGCAACCAGATCAGATGCCAAATGTTTTTGGAAGAAATCAGTGATATTAACCAAGCTGTTAGTGCTTGTAACTCCGTGGCTGGCGGTGGCAACGCCTTTCGCCGCTATAGCCGAAAATAGATAGACTGCAGTATCTTTCGCTTTCCACTGTTCTGATGGGTTCTTGTTATATTCCGCGAGGTAATGATCCGCATACTGGGTCACAACTTTTGTGACCGATTGTTCGAATTTTTCCAGCAGTTGCCTTAAGAAATCCGTAGCAGCCCGCCTCCTCGTATCACTATCTGAGCCCTCTAGATCTCTGCGGATGAATTCAATTGGCTCATCTTCAAACATCTCAATATCAGACTCACGCAGGCTGATATTAGGAAGGATGACCTTTTCGGTGACTTGACTCAAGGTACTCTCGTCTTGGAATGCGACAGCGTGCTCTGGAATTCTCGCAATAGAAGTCAAAAACTGGAGGGCTCGGGAAACCAATATGTCATATTTTGTATTTTCTCCGATCGTCGTGAGAAGGTTCCAGGAGCTCCCGATAAACTGTTGAACATGGCTTCCAAATACATCGCTATACTTTTGTACATAGAGCGTCAAAACCTGGAAGATTCCAGCTTTTACAAACTCCAGTTGCCCTGCTTCCGATTCATCGTTTGTATGGAGTAGCGTGTTATCGTATACCAGATACTTTAGCAGGAGGGTGGCTATTGCTGAAAGGTGATCCTCGAACATTGGCGGCAAATCATGGGAAGATAGGTCATAAAGCAGCTTTATCATCAAATTGAGCTGTGTGAAACCCTGAGTAAGCTGTTCCTTATTGGATTTGTTCTGTTCTAGGAAGGTATCAAGCGACTTTAAAGATGATATTCCGGGTCAGCATTTCCATGAAGATTCTACGAATGTAGGGTTATAGATAGGTAATACCTCAAACAGGGACAGATATGGATTCCCAAATTTCCCTAAGACATGGTTTATCTCAATATATAAGTCGTCCGACCGAAATAAGGGTCGCCATCTTTTGAAAATCGAGTGTGCCACCTGCAAAACACCAATATTCACAACGGGATTGTCGGGTGAAAATTTCGAAACCAGATCCTATGACGTCGTGTAAGCATGCGGGCATTTCCCATTCCTTAGAAGAACGGATGCTACTCCATACATCCACAAGGGTATCCCATCTTTCCCAGAAGTCACTATCAGCTATTACGCTCACGGCCTCGCCCAATTGAGTCTGGATGCCTGCAGGTACGGAAATCATTAAGCTGATCAGTTCTCGCTTGATTGTGGTTACTTCGTCGAGCGGAAGCTTATAGTTGCCATCCTCATCGGTCCAATAGCGCTTGATAAAGTTTTTGAAGCATAATGCGCTTGCTAAACGGGTGTTATAGGGAGTAGAAGCGGAAGCGGTAATCTGTAGTAGGAGAATGGAAAAGCCAGGTTTTGCCTCCTCCTGACGAAGTGTTGCCTCCGCTGTAGTTAGAGAACATTAGAACAGAGAGCATATTTGATATCCTGACATGGAGGCCTTGCCTTGTTTGTGTTGTCTTGGGTCCACACTTGCTTCAAGAAGCTGTGAGAGAGGTCCTATATCACCAGCCATGGCTGCAGGGATGAGCAGAGCTCCTGGTAGGAAACCGAACGAAAGGGGCGGGTAATTGATGTTAGATGGGTAAAAAAGGAGAGCAATAAGACTTCCAAGAAACAGCTTTATAATAGATCTGCCACTATAAATAAAGGGGGGGAAAATCTTGGAAGGGCTTTCTAGCTTTTTGTATCCTG